ATCCACTGCGAGGATCGTGCATCGTACGTATCTAATACCGCAGTTCAAAATATATGAACTTCATATATTCATTGTATAGTAATACTAGCGATGCATCTTCTAGATCTCCAGGACTTTATCGGGTTTGACCCTTTTGGGAGCAGAAACTTTTAGGGTCCTAGTTAGGCTAAAGAAACGTACCTAGTTGTTGTGATTTATAACATTCACCTAAAAGCTAAGGGCACTGTGATAATTGACCATGTGTTTTCGTTTTTCAGAGCCTAAAAAACCGGTTATTGAAGGGTCTGAAACTGGTGAAAAGATTCCAATTGGCGATGGCAGTCCAGTGACTTTAAACGTTGGTGATAACGTGACAGCAGCTTCAAACACCTCAATCACCATAAGGTGTCCAGTTAGTGGAATACCGACACCAACGGTTACCTGGGAGAAAGATGGAGTGGAAATTATCCCTGGCGATGACATCAAGATCACACGGAATAACACTTTGGTGATTGTGGCGGCAAAGTTCGAAGATAACGCTCAGTATACTTGCCGTGCTCATGGTCTGACTGGCACCGACAGTGCCTCTTCAACAATTAAAATTGTTGGTTAGTATTAACATAACTACCAGGGAGTTGCATATTTATTGTTATCCTTTTATGTCAAACTGATTTTATTTTTTGTATTTATACAGAGCCTTTGAGGCCTACAATAGAAAGCCCTGACCAGCCGAAGACGATCGAGTCTACAGACCAAAGTGCCATTGTAATGACCGTTGGTGACAACGTGACAGCACTTTCTAATACAAACGTTACCATTCAATGCAACGCCAGTGGAATACCAGTACCAACTGTCACGTGGGCAAAGGATGACAAGAAAATTTTAGGGGAAGACAGATACGACGTTCAGGATGATGGCTCTTTGCTTATAAAGGATAGCAACAAAGAAGATACTGCACGATACACATGCACTGTAGAGAGTGTTGCTGGCAAGGAAAGCGCATCAAGCACAGTGCAAATCATTGGTGAGTAGTATAATAAAACGTCTCTCATATGCTTTAACCTGCCATTTGTGTTGCAAAAGCTGGCTATTGTAGTTCGAAAATGTAAAAAGTTTTTCCGAATAATACTTGCACCTTGGGTAGTGATGCGCCGCAGTCCTAAACGTTTCCGTTGCGATTGAACAAATTGCAGAGTAAGGTATTTCCTTTTCACTTGTAGATTTGAAGAAGCCATTAATCCTAGTTCCAATTCCGGGTCCGAAAATATCAATTGGAAACGGTAACCCAGTGATTACAACAGTCGGTAGTCAAATCACCGAGATTGCTTTTGTTGAAATCTCCCTGACTTGTCCCACACAAGGATCGCCTCCTCCAAAAGTAACCTGGAAAAAAGACGGCAAAGAGTTAGTATCTGGTAATGGATATGTCATTGATGATAAAGGCACTCTCACAGTACTGGAGGCTCTCACGAAAGATTCAGGCAGATATACTTGTTTGGCGCAGAACGCTGCCGGTAAAGAGGAAGTGACATCACCCATTGATGTTCTAGGTATGTTAGGAGGCAGCTGCTTTACAAGTCAGGCCTTAATAAGCCCTTTGGAAAAAAACACTTTGAGCGGCGTGAATTCAGAAGATTTCATTCACTTGTTAAAACTTACCAGAGGAAAAAAAGACCGAGAGCGGTATTATTACAAGAATAGAAGACTCGCAATATGTTTCGCTCGTGATGCGTTCGCTGCAGTGTTTCTAGGGTCAAAGAACCAATGTCTTAATCGTTATAAACATATAAGAGCGCTTAACGTTCCAGCGGTAATATAGAGTAATGGAATCTCTAAGGCTATGTTACTCACTTTGACCGTAAAGTATTTCATTTGCCATCTCAAAAAAGTAAAACTGACTATTTTTTCAAGAGGAAGGGTTGTCTTTTTGTTTCTAATTATATATAAAATGAAATATGAATCACATTTTTTAAAAGGAAGAGAAAGTATTTTCTTTCGTAATTGAATATTAGATGAAAGAGGAATTACAATGAAAGAGTATTATTGTTTAAAGCTAACTAAATAAAAAAATTTTCTCATTAGAACCTGTGGAACCCATTATCGTGCCCTCACAGGGCGTTGACATTTCAGATGACCACAGCCAAGTCACCACAGGAGTAGGTACAAAGATTGATACTATCAATGGTACCACAGTTGTGATAACATGCAATGTTAAGGGTGTTCCGAGACCCACGGTGAGTTGGTTTAAGGATGGTCAGAGCATATCTTCACACGACAGGGTAGTATTGGCTTCAAACGGAACGCTTATTATCCGGCACTCTACATCTGAGGACAGCGGTAATTACACGTGCACTGCCAGCAGTCGGTCAGGGAATGATAGCGCCACATCTCCTGTAAGAGTCCTAGGTAAGGGTTGCTTTTCACACTCGCATTTTATCGATTTTTAAACTGTGAAAAAATCAGAAAGATGGCGTGTATATGCAAGCACCACACTGCATATTTGAGTAATTGGTGCACCAACTTAGCCAGCGGACCCAGCCAGAGCACATAAGGAAGGACTATAACTGGGTGTGCCTTTTGTCCCAATTAAAATGATCATTGACATCTATCTGCTTCTTACTTCAGAATACTGGTAAACGTAAACGTCAATTAATGTGTTAATCATCTTTGCGAGGTAAAAACAGCAAATCATAGTCTAAATTTCCAAATATGTCCACGTGACTCCCCCCAACTTATTTCTTGAGAATGGCATGATGTATGGATTAAGCGGCGGTTTATATATGTCGATCTATCAGTGAGATTGTTAGGGGTTAAAGCCAGTCATTTGAGTGAACTTTTGTGGAATCTTGGTTATTTGATTAAACATTTCATTTAGAAATGATGGGTCAATTTCAATAACTACTGGAAACTTGGCAGAGAGTTTTACTATTTTAGGTGACTAATTTGAATCTTTTCCAGTTACAAGGAAGCCCGCGATAGAGCGTTCAGTTGAAGATGTGTTCTGGGAATCATACAGTCCCTTGATGGTCGCTGTGGGTAATAAGGTTGAGATCATTAGTGGTTCGTCTGTTACCTTGGTATGTAAATCCAACGGTATTCCCCCACCTTCTTTGAGGTGGACACGTGGTATCGAGGCTTCACTAGTTGATGAGAAATATAACATCGAGGAAGAAACATTGACCATTAGTAACATTCAGATCGGAGACGCTGATAATTACACTTGTACGGCGACAAACACAGCAGGGAAGGATGCAGCCACAACTGAACTGCTCGTCTTAGGTGAATCACGTCTCTTTCCTTTTAAAAATGACCCAGTCGTCTGACTATCAGTTAACGTTCTTTTTTCATGTTCATCTTTCTTTTTTCCTATAGAACGTGGAGAACCAGTCATTCTATCAAACAAGACAAATTTAGTCGACGTTAACAACAATAAACCTGTCGTTGTTTCTGTCGGCGCCAACATGACGACCATTATCAACGCTACGGTCATCATGAAGTGTGTCACAGAAGGCTTACCCACACCTACTATCACTTGGAACCACAATGGGCGGCTTTTAACTACTGGGGACAGGTACCAAGCGAATCAGACGGTTTTGATGATTGAAAATGTTCAGCTGAGTGACGCAGGCCGGTATGACTGTACAGCAACCAATAGGTTCGGTCGCGATGATGAGTCACTTTTACTGACTATCACAGGTAATTTTGAAGCAGCTCTTTGTTGCTTTGTAATTGAATTTTACTCGTGCGACTTCCAAACCAAGCTACCAATGGTATTAAGTCCTTTAGTACCCCCGAGCTTTATGCGTAGATTATCCTAAAAACCATCTTATTCCAACACTTTCATAATTTTCTGAAAGTTGAAAGACTTCTTACAGCAGTGAGACAGTCAAGGACTTTTACATATATAAAGAGTACTAAGCACCATACGAGGCTCCATCTTGATTTGATCATTTCACCTTTTCAGTTCCGCCGTTGATCAGCAATGTGAAAGGCTCCTTTGAGATAACCGACATCAGAGAGCTTATCTCCATAACAACGGGAGCAGTGGTAACCATTCCAAGAGGTGTGGCTGTTAGAATAAAGTGCTTGGCAACGGGGATTCCACAACCAAAAATAACTTGGTATAAACGAGACCAAAATCACAAAGAAAGAACGCCAGTGGTAACCAATGCAAATTTGGAAATACTGAAAGACAATTCGCTTTCCATAAAACACACTTTAGTGGTTAATGCTGCGTTCTACACTTGTATTGCGACTAATGTCGCTGGACAAGATGAAGGAACAACCCACTTGAACATTGGAAGTAAGGAAATACATTTCTATTATATTATTTATAGTCCCCTTCATAATGCCTAGTGGTTTCCTTCATTTATTGAGTGATTAAGATGGTTTCTACAGGTCAGGAAATGGTTACTTACAAATTTTCAAGGTCAGACAAAAGTGATTGAATTATGACCGGAGGAATTTTGATTTCAATCGAGGAAGAATCTTTTTCCACTATGGAAATATCGTAGATTTATTATAGAGATGACCAGGACTGCCAGCAGAATGCAAAATATAAACTTTTACGATAGCCTTCTACTTTAAACATCTTGCTTCAGTACTCTGATCTATGAGATACATCACTTGTGTGACACCCTGTTTACACACGTGCTCTATAGACATGGTAATCCCGTCATGACCGTAGCGTGAGCTCATTTTCCTGAGAATTTTCCTATTAGCTGTGATAAATAACACCATTCTTAAGCCAATCAAAGCACTATTAATGGTCATGTGTGCTCACGTCACCGTTGCGATCGCAAAATTGACTCAAAATTCGCTTGTAGATACTCTTCATTCAATATTCTCCTCCTTACCCCTAGCACCTCCAGAGGTCCCAAGTTATTGGCAAGGAATAAAATCTCGATTTAACGACCGCGCTAGACATCTGAAAGCTGTAGGTGCATCTGCTACGATAGTGAAAGGAGCAACTTTAAACATTAGATGCGCTGCTGTGGGAACACCAAAACCCACTATCAAGTGGATTGTGGCGACCTCAGGCCGGCAGAATCGATATACTGTCTTGCATGACGGTACATTGGAGGTACCTAACGCCGACCTTACGGATGAAGGAAACTATACTTGCATTGCAAACAACTCATATGGCACTCTAAATAGGACCACAACCGTAAGCATTTTAGGTAAGAAGTTACAGCAAGACCAACGGTTTTTTTATTGAATATACTATTCTAGCTTAATTGGTATGCAGAAGTTAGAACCTCTCAGAGGACAGTGGACCTCGCTTAACTTCTGATTTGGTGAATGCGGTGATAAGGGTTGGAGGCCGATTTCTTTATCTTGAATTATTATTAGGGAATTTTCGATGCATAAGCGTGTTCCACGTTTGTTGTAATTGTTTTTTCTCTGTTATAGTTCCACCCCAAATCCTTGAGCGTCATTTCCGGCATCTTTACGATAAGAAGGGAATCGAAGGTTATGCAATGGCTCATATGGAAGTTAAAGGAAGGACAGTATCTTCGCTAACAGTGAAACAAGGTTACAATCTAGTGTTAATATGTACTGTGAGTGGAAAACCCAAACCTCACGTAACGTGGACAAGGAATAGAGTTTTGATCAAGAATGACACTCGACATTTATTGTTACCGAATGGAGTCCTGTTGGTCCGTCGTATTCTTGTTAGGGAGTCTGGTCAATACAAATGTGTTGCAACCAATGTAGTCGGGAAAGATCAAGGAACTGTGCAGCTCACTGTTAGAGATCAAGGCAAAGGTGAGTACAGGATTTGAAAACATTGGGGCAGTCATCGGGTCTCCTAACAAAGACGTGTAAACTGATTACAGAACCTGACGAAAAGTACAGAATAATTGTTGCTGGTATGTGTTGTGTTATACTTCACCACTAAATTTTCTCCGATTCTTATTGGTTTAAATTGATCACGTGACGTGATAGTGTTCATCCGTGGAGAGACACTATCAGCCCATAGTGCCCTTCCGCGGAAAATACCCGGATGGATAGTACTCATCCATGAAAAATTTTGAATGGTTTGACGGCCGCGAAGTTAGGCAGATCCGAAAACCGGCGACTTTTCAATTCTGACAGGTATAATGTATCATTTAGCCAATGTACGGTTTGCGAATTATTGACACTTATGACAGGTTGTACGCATGAAAATATATTTGATTGATCTGCGTTGAGTGGGTTTTGACTGTTTTTCAACTGGCGCGCGGAAGAAAATTTAGTGGTGAACAATAAAGACAATAAAGTATTTATGTCTCAGAACTATTGGTCTGATAGTTGCCCCTTGGAAATTTGATGTTCTTAAAACTAGCATATTTGTGGGGTAACTATCAGCCGATAGTTCCTCGACAGAAACACTCTATTGTATAATTAGAAGTGCATTGTCATGTAATTCCGTTATCATACCAAAAACTAAAGTGGTCTTATTTGATAGGCATTAGTCAAGTCAAACGCTTAATCATCTCGTGGAAGTACTATGTAACATTGTATACTCACTGAGACACATATCATTATTAGAGATAACCTTCATAAATTTTATTTGTCTTCAGGGTATTGGAAAGCTACAGAGTGGAGTCAAGTTAGTACACAGTATTTAATAAGTTGCTTATAAGCTAATGACTGTAGTAGTCCATCTCAACGGAAACTTAAGTTTACATGAGGTCGAGAAAGATCGAAGTAAATTATTAAGTAATTTTAATTTATTCTTCTTCAATTAATCTGACCGAATGCGAACATAAAAAAACTGAGGCAACAGTTCTTGAATGCTCAGGGCGTGTCTTCTCCGATAACAATTGTGATCACGAGGTTTTATCAACGGCCTCGTGTAGTAACACCCCTCTCTTTGGCTTCCCCGAGAAGAACATGTTCGTTATGGGATGGAAGTTTCTAAAGGACTAACTATAGCTCATCAATCAGTTTCGCCGTGCTGTGCTTAATATGCTTACACTTGACTAATTGTCCAACATCCGTTGGATTGATTTTAGTGTGGCAATTGTGAGTCGCATCGCCGTGGCTGGCAAGAAAGACATATCAGTTGCATTGGTCCTGGGAATGTGGTCGCAAGTGACGTCCATTGCATTCACAAGCCTAAACCAATCAAACGCCGTAAATGTACTCACGAGGACTGTGAAGTGATGTGGTCGCCGTCAGCTTGGTCAGCGGTAAGTTTTGGTGACTTTACGAATTTGCATAGGGCATGTGAAGAGTTGTATTGTGCTTGAGATACGTGAGTATCGGGTCATCCAGGGTCAGTCCGTCCTAATTACACTTACGCCAAGACCTCATGGCGCATTTGTTACTTCCCAAAACATGAACCTCTTTCTTGTGGCAAAGTGGCCCGACATCTAACTTACACATTAGCACCAGAACGATAAATTTGAATGCGAACGCACGTTGAATAGCCGAAAAGAAGGGTAGAAAAAGGACAAAAAATCACCTTGGAGAACTAACTTAACTCCCTCCCTGACTTTCTGAAGTGATACCTAACTTTTTTAAGAGGAATAATGTATGTAGTACTTTGTAGATCTGCGTAAAATTGGGACTATTCGTTATGAAACATGGAAAGCATCTGCTTTGCTACGACTACCCATGCAGCTTGGGCTTTAAAATTGGGGACTCTTCGGGCGAAGGTTGAATAGTGAACAAATGCTATCATCCATAAGTCGGTGTGAGGTGGAAAATAGTTTTTGATTTTGAATTGACTTGATTTTGATCGTTCTTTTGGTTAACTACTTGGCTGAAGGGTCTTTTTTAACGAGGTTATACAAGAAGTTGTAGAAAACCACTAAAATTGGAAAATTTATTTTCCCCAAATACAGTCCATAATACTCCTTTTTGTTTGTTTGTTTGTTTCTTTTTCCTTCTTCTCCTTCGCTCACTCATTAACGTACTGTTTAATTTGTATCTTAAGGTGTCTGTCAAGACATAATAATTTCTTCATTATGCTTTCAGTGTTCTCGTAGTTGTGGTTTACATGGAATCAAGCTACGTAATGCTCAATGCGTATTCGTTAAAAGCTTAAACCCAGCTACAGGTCAATGTTACTGGCAGGAAAAACCCACCCTGCAGGAATCTTGTAACAGGAAGTCTTGTACAAAAGGTTATTTTGTCGATTTTGACATTTTATCTTTAATTCTTTTGTGCGTAACATAACTATTTATTTTGGGTATCACTCTTTTGAGGTCTAACTGCTTAAAAGCAGTGTAACAGTTACCCCGACACTTAGCTGGATAATTGTGTCAGTACTTCCAGAAAAGAAACCAAAAAATTAGTTTTTCTCTGTCAATATACCGAAATATGGTCGGAGATTAAACCTTTTACGCACAACTTTAGCTCTTCGACTACTTGGAGGTGAATTGTACTTGCAAATCAGTTCTGAACTAGCCAATCAACGCGTACGAAAACCACTCATTACCAGACGAGTGTACACTTAAAGAAATAGAGGGAACTGTGTGCAAGTAAGGAGCTGCTACTGTAAGGCATAAGAACATAACCGGATTTGCTGTCAGTAATGCAATAGTTTCCAACGTGAATCTAAATTTTTTTCTTCTTCTTCTTTTCCAGCTAATTGCGTCGACAAGGTCAAATACTGCGAAAAGGTCAAGATAATGAGAATGTGCTCGGTGTACTCTCTCTGGTGCTGCAACACATGCCACTCCTGAATAAGCGCGCAATGATAGAATTATCCTTAAAAAATTTGCCCAGTTGAATACTCTATTTATTTAAACGAAACCCATAAGAGTAATTTTACTATTGTTACTTTACTTACTTGGAAGCCGTTGAAAGCCTTGATTAATGCAGACACAGTTTCAAGGTAATACAGGCAATGTTTGAGGTACAGGGAGTGATCTCGCGAACTCAAACTAATTTGTCAAATGTTCAGATTTTCATTTTCTCAATTTATTTGTCTTTGTTTATAAATCTACCTTCAAGAATAAAACTCGTGGAGATTTCTGAAAAGATGCTTAAATATCGACGAAGCTTATTCTAGTATAAAGAGGACATAGGCATTACGTGACATGTCCATTATAAATAGAGGGATGCCGATATTTTTAAAAAATAAAATTTGTTTCCATTTCTCAATGAACTTGCTCGCCTTATTCATGCTTAGCCAAGCTAAAATAGGAGAGGGGGAACTCGATTGTCATATATTCAACGTAACCATTAAACTGTCACTAATTTCTCTCGTATCGTGAGGTACATGTTGGTGACCTCGCTCAAGCAAGCTACTCCTCATTTACTAGTTTGCCTCAGTTCGCGCGTGGAGATTTCTGGCTTTGACATCCCCTCCCTATACCAACAGAGCAATTCCGAATTTTTTTTTAAGGTACAAAGAAATGATGACATCATTGTTAAAAATATCAGCTTTTAATGTGCAAAATCTTTCCAAATCTCTTCAAAGACAAACCAAGTGAAAGTTTGAATGTAACAGAAATTAAAGGTAGGAAGCTTCCTTCTCAGTCGAACGTCAATGGCACAGTTATTTTAGTTATTACTTGGAAGCACTGTTTCGAGTTCAGTTGGCAAGGCCAGTGTTGCTGCATTTGGATCGCTGAGTCACAGATGATAACCATATGAAGTGGCTTTTGAATAAAGTCTGTTATCTGTGACCAATATTCTCGTCAAGGAGAGCTTGTTCAGATAAAAACAGGAAACCTAAAAAAACAGAAATGCCGGAAAGGTTGCGCGCCATATTGATGTGAACCCGAAGCAAAGATTTTGGTTTAATATACGTTGTGGTACTAAATTAAGCATGTAAAGATGAAATAAACAATTTTTAATATAAGAGAAAAATCGAGTTTCCAGATGTGCTGTTAGTGAGCTTCTATGCGCTTGCTGATGTTTGGCTGTGTAGCCGCGTGATGCGGTTCCAGTCAATACCCACTAATTGACCCTTGCTCACCATAGAGTCTCCTGTAGCTCAGTGGTTAGACCATCCGACTAGATCACGGAGGGCCGTGGGTACAAATCCCATCTGGAAACTCGATTTTTCTCTGGCACTAAATTATTCAGTTTTGAGCTCACTTCATGGACGTCAAAACAAATTGGAAATCTACTGTTTATCTATGCGGTAGCATTTGATGTTCTTACCTCCATAGCTTAACTGGTGAATTTTTCTGGCATACACGAAACAATAAACAACAGAGTTCTTAAATTTCCTTGCATGGTTTGAAAGACTCTTCTATGATTCTGAATCTCACAAGTTTTCAATACAGCGCGAACTGAAATCTTTTCTTAACTGGCTCAGTGTGTGCCATAAAAAGATTTGTTAAGAAAACTAATTTTTGTTTCATTATACAAAACCCCTCTGACATGTTTCATTTGACTCTCTACAATTCGAAATGACACTTGCTAAAACACTTTAGTTATGAAACTATTATGTCAGTGCTACGCGCATTTTCAGAAATTGATTGAAACATTCTGTGGCCGGTTTCACTTTCATGATCAAAAACAAAATTTCCTGAGCCTTTTAAAAGAGCATCTGACGGGCAACTGACTCGGGGCCAAACATAATCGTCGTCATACACTGTATCCTTAGCCAATGCCTCGGAGGTCTTGAAAAGGGCGCTACGGTCACGGAACATCTTTGGAGGCACAACAGTAAACCTCTTGTATTTATCCAGAAATTCAGACTTTTCTGGGACCTTCTCTTGAACGGGCGGGAAAATCTCATTTTTTATTCCTGGGCCCTTTGAGTGAACAACCGGCTCGTAAAACCATTTAAAACTGAGGCCATAGTTGGTCTTGTCATCAAGTGTTTCCTCTCGTCCAAATCGCAGCTTGGTACGTGGTCTGGCGGTTTTCGCTGGCACAGCTTTCCTTCCGAAATTGGCGTAGTCCATATGTGTAGTCTGACAGTCCATGGTTCCCTCAGGTGTTTTGTACTTCTCGGGCTCTTTTTGCTTCCTTGTTGACACCTCCCAGCTCTGAAAATCTTCCTTTTTTGTGGTTTCACGCTGCATAGGCTCAGAACTCTTAAATAAATCACTTACGGGGTGGAACATGGGAGCTTTAGGCGCTCCTCGAAAATCAACAAAATCCTCCCTGAACACTGAATTACTGTTGAAAGGTTCTTCAGGAGGCACCCGCTCCTCTTTCTTCCTCTCATATCTCTGAGGTATCTCCTTGTCTTTGAAATCCACCCTGTAATGGGTGACGGATGAAATCGGACCGTCGTATTTGATCTGGTCGGGCTGACGCGCCGTAGGCCGTGGGGGCTGATTAAACCGTTGGTAATCCTGTCGGTGGATTGATGTTTCCTTGAAGGGGTCGGCAGGCGGCGCGTAAGTGTTACTTCGTATCACTCGGTGAACTTGAGGAATCCAGCCTTTGTAATCGTCATGGGAAATGGATTTATAAACAACCTTAGCTGAGGGAGCACGCAATGTCTCTCCACGGATGTATGGAGGGATCTTGGCTGGTATGGCACGTACTCCACGGTAGTGATCTCTGTGTTCCGAAACTGTTTCAAAGGGGTTTGGATTGGGTACGTACTTTTCTGCCTTCTTTTTCTTTGGAGGTCTCACCTCGAACGGAACATAGTCAGCCTTTTGGGTGGTGTCTTTATCGATGTTGCCTTTGTTTTGGAGTAGATCCACTGGACGACGAAAAGGTCCCCTTGTACGCTGCCCCGGTTGATAACTTGTTCTGTACTCTGAGTTCACATGGCATCTTTCTTGAGTTGATTTGTTGATGATCCGATTTGGACTGGCGCCTTCATGTGGACAACGATGGCGTCTGTGAAATTAATAGGCAAGTTCAGAGTTGAGAAATCAATGATAGTTCTAAAATTGAACAAATCACCATAACTATCAGAAAATTCAAATAGATGTGAAGACAGTAATTCGAGTTTTCCGATAATGCAATGGTGCGTTTAGCATTACAACTAAAAGCTATTAATACTACTCTGTATGAAGGTAAGACTTTATTTCTTTGATTATTTCACACAACTTTATATTTGCGGAGCTCAAAAGCAAGTCCAACTAAACCACTATACAAACTCTATAATAATCCACTGTCAAAGAGCCTGCGACAGAGCCTGTGACAGAGCCTGGGCTACCTGTGGAGTCGCTCTCGGCTATCGCCTCGCGCAACCTCCCGCGTGCATTCATAACTCAAATAGTGTACGCTGTGGTGTTTACCATTTGTTAATGAGCACACACAACCTCCCAGTCCCTTACTGAGAGGGGAAGGACAGCAGTCAAACTAAATACATGTAGTATGAAATGCAGTAAATAAAAAAGCAAGGTCAGCTTGATTAAAAAAAAATGAAAGTGGATAAAATGTAAGCCTCGCTCTGAAGACATGCTAAGAAAAAAAAACCTTGACTTGACAGGAGACCAAAATAAAGTATTGGCATCATCACAATTCCATTAGGTTAGTGCTGAAATAAAATGAACGTAACCATTTCTCATTCTCCTATGCCAATCAGTTCACATTCATGCCAAAAAGGGAAAAAAATGTTCATTTTTTTACTCAACTTCTAATTTCTTAGGCTTTTGAGGATGGAAGGGTCTTTTAACCATAAATAATTATACTAATCCAAGCAAGGGTATGAAAGTATAAACTTTATTCAGGTTGAGTAGCCCATGTTGTGTTGGAACCTACATGTATGTCCTGGTCCCCATGCTATTAAATAACCAGGCGTTTTTCCATTCAGGAATGGTTTGCTGGTTTATTGCTGGTATTTTGCCAAATGTCAATTCTCTTAGATTCATCTATACTCCTTGTCAGAGGGAGACACCTTGAGAATGAAGTGTCTTGTTTAAGGATTCAACTTGCAGATTTCCTTTCTTTAGATCTGGATTTGGATCTGGATCATTTGTTCAAAAGACCATCAAATACTAAAGGAACCAATATGCCTATGTGTTTTCCATGAAAAGTCTCTCATTTAAAGTGCAGTTCAACCTTGACAATCCAGACCCTTCATTATCTGGATTTTCCATCTATTTGGACTTGCTTCTCTGGTCCTATTTTTTCACAAATTAGGTCACATTTGCACCTTTAAAGAATGGTAGAATTAGGGATGTGCTCACAATTTGGCACCTTGAAACAAACTGATTCACTCCGCACTTAAGTTTTTAAATTTTTATTGCTGTAAAACATTTTTGTAAACATTTTCCAACAGCGGAAATTCTCACAAGGAATAAAGGAATGCCTGTCTTAGCTACATCAAGTATTGTAAGATGTTTGATGAAGCACACCCTTATGCATCACGCACATGTAAGTATGCCTGCAATGTCTCTTTGCCTGCAAATCAGTTTGAGAACTCTGTTGATTACATGGCTCACTGATATTCTTTGTCCAGACTATCGATTGCCATTCAACCTACATTTAGTCTGCATTGCCACATGAGGAAATGTAAATGTTCGTGATGAAACTAAACAACAAGCATAACTTATAAAAAATCAGTGGCTCAGATTTTTCCCTGGTTGAAATTTATTTACACCACTTTGATTTCATTGCTCTTTGAGTTCATTTTCATTCTGAGATCTGTTTCTTTCCTTCAAAGCAGACCATGAGTACACATAAATTATGAAAAAATGCTGCTTAAACTTGGCAAAGAGAAAAAACATCATTCAGTCTTGACCAGCCATAATATATATGTATATGAGAACGATCCTTCGCAGTAAAGCACTATTTGAGCAATAGTGAAAATCAGACCTGAAAAAAATTTCAGGCCTGTACGGGATTCGAACCACTGACCTCTGCGATACTAGTGCAGCGCTCTACCAATTGAGCTAACAAGCCAACTGGGAGCAGGCCATCAAATTAATTCGATATAAACCCGTAGATGATAAATCAAACAACAACAAACATATGAAACATATGTGTGAACTGCGGTTATGAGACGTATATGAGAACGATCCTTCGCAGTAAAGCACTATTTGAGCAATAGTGAAAATCAGACCTGAAAAAAATTTCAGGCCTGTACGGGATTCGAACCACTGACCTCTGCGATACTAGTGCAGCGCTCTACCAATTGAGCTAACAAGCCAACTGGGAGCAGGCCATCAAATTAATTCGATATAAACCCGTAGATGATAAATCAAACAACAACAAACATATGAAACATATGTGTGAACTGCGGTTATGAGACGTATATGAGAACGATCCTTCGCAGTAAAGCACTATTTGAGCAATAGTGAAAATCAGACCTGAAAAAAATTTCAGGCCTGTACGGGATTCGAACCACTGACCTCTGCGATACTAGTGCAGCGCTCTACCAATTGAGCTAACAAGCCAACTGGGAGCAGGCCATCAAATTAATTCGATATAAACCCGTAGATGATAAATCAAACAACAACAAACATATGAAACATATGTGTGAACTGCGGTTATGAGACGTATATGAGAACGATCCTTCGCAGTAAAGCACTATTTGAGCAATAGTGAAAATCAGACCTGAAAAAAATTTCAGGCCTGTACGGGATTCGAACCACTGACCTCTGCGATACTAGTGCAGCGCTCTACCAATTGAGCTAACAAGCCAACTGGGAGCAGGCCATCAAATTAATTCGATATAAACCCGTAGATGATAAATCAAACAACAACAAACATATGAAACATATGTGTGAACTGCGGTTATGAGACGTATATGAGAACGATCCTTCGCAGTAAAGCACTATTTGAGCAATAGTGAAAATCAGACCTGAAAAAAATTTCAGGCCTGTACGGGATTCGAACCACTGACCTCTGCGATACTAGTGCAGCGCTCTACCAATTGAGCTAACAAGCCAACTGGGAGCAGGCCATCAAATTAATTCGATATAAACCCGTAGATGATAAATCAAACAACAACAAACATATGAAACATATGTGTGAACTGCGGTTATGAGACGTATATGAGAACGATCCTTCGCAGTAAAGCACTATTTGAGCAATAGTGAAAATCAGACCTGAAAAAAATTTCAGGCCTGTACGGGATTCGAACCACTGACCTCTGCGATACTAGTGCAGCGCTCTACCAATTGAGCTAACAAGCCAACTGGGAGCAGGCCATCAAATTAATTCGATATAAACCCGTAGATGATAAATCAAACAACAACAAACATATGAAACATATGTGTGAACTGCGGTTATGAGACGTATATGAGAACGATCCTTCGCAGTAAAGCACTATTTGAGCAATAGTGAAAATCAGACCTGAAAAAAATTTCAGGCCTGTACGGGATTCGAACCACTGACCTCTGCGATACTAGTGCAGCGCTCTACCAATTGAGCTAACAAGCCAACTGGGAGCAGGCCATCAAATTTGTTGTTGTTTGATTTATCATCTACGGGTTTATGTCGAATTAATTTGATGGCCTGCTCCCAGTTGGCTTGTTAGCTCAATTGGTAGAGCGCTGCACTAGTATCGCAGAGGTCAGTGGTTCGAATCCCGTACAGGCCTGAAATTTTTTTCAGGTCTGATTTTCACTATTGCTCAAATAGTGCTTTACTGCGAAGGATCGTTCTCATATACGTCTCATAACCGCAGTTCACACATATGTTTCATATGTTTGTTGTTGTTTGATTTATCATCTACGGGTTTATGTCGAATTAATTTGATGGCCTGCTCCCAGTTGGCTTGTTAGCTCAATTGGTAGAGCGCTGCACTAGTATCGCAGAGGTCAGTGGTTCGAATCCCGTACAGGCCTGAAATTTTTTTCAGGTGTGATTTTCACTATTGCTCAAATAGTGCTTTACTGCGAAGGATCGTTCTCATATACGTCTCATAACCGCAGTTCACACATGTTTCATATGTTTGTTGTTGTTTCATAATATATATATAAAAAAATTACTTTGCTTCTCAACTGTGAACTTTATGATTAAGATTAACTTCATCCTGTGTTTGATTAAGATTAATACTAATTAATAATAACTTAATAACTTCATCCTGTGTTTGATTAAGATTAATGCAATTTCGTAAAGGAGTAATAATCAATGTAAGATATTAGAGGAAACTCAGAAAGGCTTGGAACCAGTGGCAAAGTGATTTGCAACTGTCTTGAGTTATTTCCCAATTTCAAGTGGTTTACTCCAGTCAACTAAGACAAAATGTGATCTACAACTTTCAAAATTTACTCATGTGTTCGCACGTACAGTGGGCGATGGATTTTGTCCAATTGGATTACAAATGTTATCTCAGATAATACAAACACCTGTGCAGTTAGTGTCATTTTTTTTCCTTTGCTTTTTACTTAAAAAAAATCGAACTCCTCAGGGATAGTTTCAAGAATGAAAAAGTTTGACATTTCGTAGTCTTTAACTCGAGTTTCTTAATTCACATGAGACGAGAATGCTCCTTGTAAATGAAATTTTGTCTACGGGATGTTTACTATGCTAATTTCTTGCTTGGTTAAATCACTATGACTTTCTCTGACAACTGGAGTATAATTCTATGAAATTGTCTACACTCGGAAGTCTGGGATTCAGAGAGTCTGGAAAAATGAAATGCTGACAAGGATTGTACCAGTCGAGCTACAACTGTGTAAATGTTTAAACACAAGAATATAACGATAGCATGCACATAGGATGACTGAAGGTCCTTTACAGGACACAAGTCACACAAGTATAGCCATTTTCTTGCACGGCGTTTAACTCACCGCATGAAAACATTGTTCACTGATTTTACAAAGCCTTAAAAATAAAGCAGACATCGGCGAAACCGGCTGCGTGGACACTCAATAAACACAATAACGATACAGCTGTATGTTATTCTCGACACATCCGAAATCGAATGCTCATCCTAATTATAATTAGAAGCACACGACAATCGAACCAAATTTCAAGTGATAAAACTTATGAAGCAGTACTTTCCCAACTGCCTCAAATTAAAACAAATTGATAGCCACTTCATCAAATTATTAGATTTTATGCTTTTTAGTTGAAATGGGATCACGAACTGATGAAGTCGTTTTAGAAGAAAACAAATACGCATAGAAACACGCCACATTTTTAAAGCTGAAGATTTCTGTTGAATGGGTTTTTCGAATCCCTCATTTTCAAGTAAAAGGGCGTCAAAATTACGCCCTGCATCCTTATACTTTCAAAATTTTATTCCAAGGTAGAAGGGAAATCTACAAAAGGTTAAACAATCACTATGCTGAAGTAGCCACAGTGACGCATTGTTGATCGAGAGATGGAATTTGAGAAGAACGATCAGAATCGCGCACTGACTAGAATCAAAGACGACAAGAGATGCTTACCCGCAAGTACAAATCTCGCAAATACACTTTTTCGGCATTTTTACGTCCCTTTAGCTGTTGTCCAAGATCAAAGATCTTCCATCTTCTTATCCAAAGTATTTTAACCCGGACCTCAACATGTTGATTTGCTTCAAGCTCCTATCTTCCAGTTGCTATGACAACGGCGCACAGATGCCTGTAGACTCTCTTGGGATTTGTCTCCTGTGACCTATAAATACGTCAGGCAGTCCAACTATTCCTCAAATGGGGTAAGTTTCTAAAGAAATTGTGGTGCTGTGTAGGTGGAAGTAACAAGGTGATTTGGGTTTTATCAACTGAGTTGATAATGTAAACTGGCCACCGTAAAGAGTTTCAAAGCTGACGCTTCGAGCGTGAGCCCTTCGTCGATAACGCACATTTAGCCACAACTTATACGCGAATCACATCTTAGTTTTGACTCTTTTTGCAATGAAATTTCTCGGACAGTAGAGAAGAAGAAATACACTGAAAACCATCAAGTTACAGAAGCACTTGATGATATCAAAATTTTGTTAATTGGCATCTTCAGCCTTACAATAATCGGACATTAATAATTAGACACTCCTATTGAGCCAGCTTGATACAGGTTCCACCACCTGATCTCACAAATCACTTGGAGTCAATGTAAATGGTAACGTCTTCGTCAATGATGCCCAATTGTTTCTCCGTAGTTTCCAGTGTGTTTCTAGATTGCGCCAAAATCGGTACCAAACATTGAATACAGTCAGAGAAGTTGTGCCAAGGTGAGGATCGCTCTTTTACCTAATTAGAAGTGAAGTACTGCTGGACCAGCAACAACTTTTGTACAAAATTGAACACCGAAAACATGAGAATAGCGCTGGGTTGAAGATGCATTGTGTCCTTAGGATCTTAATTCTTCCGTATAAAAAGCCTACTAGATTACAACAACTTCCCATCCATCACACGAGATAAACTTATAGTATTGGCTGTGTCCGCATCATAGTGCCGTGTTACTGATTTCAAGAATGTGCTGATCATCTTTGATCAAAGTCCCACGTCGAGACACAAGAGTAAAGTTAAAAGAAAACTTTGAGTCATCAGAAATACCTTGTTAGTATTTACATTGTCAAAACGAAATTTTAGTAAAACAAAGATGATCTGCAATATCATACGGGAGTCTACTTTAAGAACTTTAAAACTACAATATGGGCTTCCTACATTCGGAAACTCCCCAAAGAGCGAAAATCCAGTCCTTTGATATAGCTATATTCGTATGATTTATTATCAATTTACCATTTTGTCAACTGATAGCCACTATCCTGAACTTGGACTGCTTGCGAGTATATTTCAGTATGTTTGTTTGTAAAAACAAACAATACCTGTGGATATAAATAAATTTCCTTTTTTCCGTTTTCGTTGAGGGGAGGGGGGAAGGTAAGAGAATTTTTTTTTTTTTATGCACCACATAGAATATTAGCAATTCGCTATGGATTTCATGCTTTTGGTCCAGACGAACTGCCACTCATTTACGAAAAAAAGTCAATTTTTTTTGGTGTTGTCATAGAGACAAAGACACTCAATGAGATCAATAAACCTGAGCACTCAGGTGAATTAGCCGCCTTGAAAGATTAATTACACTAAATTGCGCCGCAGAGCCTGCGAGCCGAAAGCTCGTTCGTATTGATCCTACATGAACACAACTGTCTGGGACCATACAACTCACGGGACACAAAACTCGATCGTGGTGACCGTTAATCTTCAACGCATTTTTAAAAAGACGATCGTGGAACCTACGTGAGATTGCAAAAACGAAGTATTTCAGCAGATCCGATGTCAACACAGTCTTAAGGGTAATATTTTCCTTTTCTGTATGAGTTAGTTTTATTGTCAGCATGTGGCTTGCAGTTATGGCTCCATTGTTGTAGATTTTTGTTTTAACACAACCAATGAAGTGAGGGCCAAAGGCACTGGTATTCGAAAATGTTTTCACGCCGAGTGGCACAGATCGTGTAATAACTGTTTTCAATTTCATGATAATCCCGGGAGTTGAGTTAACAGTTACCCATCTGCTTAATTTATCAATTTCATTCAGCGCACGTAAGGGTTAAAGTAAGTTTTCTGGCTCTTTCACTCAGCTGGAACATGATTTGAATGAAGTGGTCATGTATGACGACAAGTCCTATCAAACTCTTCCTTAGTTTTATAAATGTTTTCACCTTTCCGCAAATGTTACCTAGCTGCAAGAAATTGTACAAGGGAAGAATTATCAGTATTGTATTGGTGATGAAGACTTAACATCGCATTTTACTTCGGAGCATAGTTCCGCCACGGCTTTGCCAAAGGTATATATTAGACCTCATGATATATTCTGCGAGATAAGTGCCTTTCAAGTTGTTGAATTTCTTCGCCAATCTTGACTTATTATCGCGATATTTACTCTGTTTAAGCTTAAGTTAATAGTATATGGTTTCTTTAGACTTAATGGCGATTTAGGACCCCCAATGTCGTATAAACTTGACATTCTTGAGATTCTTTGTTGAGTCTCATACATAGTTCAAACAAGTGCTTTGATTTCTTGAACTTTTGCATTTTTGTTACTAGATCTACTAGTGCATTGTTTTCTTTTAATCACTTTTACTGCGTCCAACAGTTAATTAACACTTGAGGATTTTGTTTCGATCAGCCAAGTTACAAGTTGTTACTACTTTAAGACATCGTTTAGTTTTGTGCTTAAATGTTTCCTTTGTAAATATATAAAAAGCCTTCATTCGTGTAATACCGCCTAGACGAAAGGAGACCCTTATTAACAATGACATACGCTTTGATCTTGGCTGCTTTCGGTAAATCTGATCACGGAATTGTTGTTGAAAAGAAACTCAGGAGGTGACCTTAGCAAAAAATGGCTACGGTATTGTCCCTCGCAGCATGTGTGTTTTCTATTTCATTAAAATATATTTATATGTATAAGTCACGCCCGCGCCGACAGCTGTGACAGACAAAGACGGATCGAGAACCGTTTACAAGACAACAAGAAAAGTTCAGTCAACGTGATTAATTATTGTTGATTGTTTCTCTAAGGGACTTGCAAACAGAGAAGCCGCTAATTCAACGACAAGCAGAACATAAATCAGGTACTGTTCACATCCTTACACTAATCTTTAATAATTATAATTTATTCTCAAGGTGATTATCTCTTGCTACGGTCTTAATTGAGTTTCATTAAAAATTACAATGAATTTAGAGCAATTATCAAAAGCTTGGATATATCAACAAAGTTGAAATGGTAAATTAGCCACCGTAATGATTACAAAAGCTGACGTTTCGAGCGGTAGCCCTTCGTCGGAGCGAAGGGCTAACGCTCGAAACGTCAGCTTTTGTAATCATTACGGTGGCTAATTTACCATTTCAACTTTGTTGATATATCCAAATTATTTCGTTACTCCCACCGACGCGGCCCCAAACAGTTTCTTTCGAAACTATCAGCCTTTAATTATCAAAAGCGCTAACCAAACAACCATCAACAAAACTGTGAATTCTTTTGTGTTATAGTAACAACATTTCGGCTCATGTGGTTCATAACAATGTGAACTGCACCAAAATGTACTTCAGTGGGCAGTTGGTCCTCGTTTAGCACGTATGCTTTTACTGACCATGGCAGGTCTTTCGACTGTTCGATTGACCACGGATTTACAATCGGTTTCACATTTTGGGTCTAACTGTTTACAATATGCATAGTGTGCATTCCATGTGAAGTTTTTGGTAAATCAAGTTGAAGATTTTAAAACCCATGTAGTTATCGTGACGATGACGTGTTCTTCTTTCGGCGGTTTCATACCACCTGTAATAACATTTTCCCTTTTCTTAGTTCTCCCCCTTCGTCAAAAGAGTTCTTTGGAATCATGTGTTATTAAGGTATTCGTCAACTTTTGCTTTGGTATTCAATGTTATAGTAAATGCGTCATATCTTCACGTTAAGAGCTTATCTGACTTTCGGTATCAGAAAAATCCTAACAAAGCATTTTGTTTCTGCTATACCGGTCCTGATGCACGATAAGGAACCGCATGTGATGGTACTTACGAATTTTCGTATTTGACTTTAAAAACTGGAAAACATACGTGATGCATATTTCAAAATTGGCGCCGCTCATGGTGTGGAAATGAAAGGAGAGAACCGGGGAAAGCTGGGCTTTTTTTTCTGAGACAAACCTTTGGGCGTTTCAGCTACTAATCAAAATGGAAACACAAAAACCGAGAAAAGAAATTCGTCTTTTTTCCAGGTTATGGTCTTGCCCGCCTGTTGTATCACAACTGCGAGTATTCCGCAGTTCTGACCAGCATTCCAAGGGCCGTGCAAATGGTTTCAAATCTGCCATTTGTGGACTCAGGCGTCCTTTGTTTCCACCCTTTCTTTGGTACAGAATGAAATCATAACACTTTTCGCAATTTAAGTACTGATCGGTACAAATCTCCAAAGGTCCTGAGTCTTTCTAGGCATCACTAAGTTATTTCTAACTAGGTGTCTAACTTTCGAAAAGAAACCTCACTTTTACCATTTACTGGGTCCTTTTCCTGTTAAACTGGGTCCTTTTCCTGTTAAACTCCCAGGAGAGAGGTGATCGATGAGACGACGTCGCAACCTCTGACTACTGATTCAGTTATCAGTTTTGCCAGACAGTTTGTAGACCTCACGTGGGCAATAAGAGCCTGTCGCAGGCCAAGTGTACCTTGTATGTTGTATGTCTTGTATGTCAGTGTGTTCCTCTTGGAGTCTATAGCCAAAGTAAAAATCACAAAATGGAAGATAAAACAAAAAAACAAATACCAGATTTTATAGCACATTAAGGTTTGACAACCACAAGAATTACGTTATCAAACTGCTGTAAGAGGGGCAAGCCATCACTATGTAAACCACATGTAGTTCTGTCATTTGGCCACCCAGGCAAAAAGATCGCTCGATATGGCTCATAATTAATCCTTCGTAAATGATAAATAGCCCACCGTGGACCTCTAAGATGGTTTCCTGTTTTGACGAAGGATTTTTGAATTGATGGAACTGAACGTGATCTAAATTGACCATTTGTGGCCCGCTTTCAGTGAGCGTTTCACTCGCACGTGATGCAATAAATAATTGCACAGTTGTCTTTATCCCGAACT